AAGTCTGCAATATTGCCTCCAGGAGGAAGATAAACATTTGTTATAACAAGTTCAAAGTTTTTCCTCGTAATCAGGGCTGTAATTGCAAAGATGGAAGCATTTACAAGCGTGAGTTTTGCCTGTATTTTCAAGGAAATTGCTATAACTAATCCTCCACTGGGCCGGCCTCCTTTAGTAGACGGGCATGCCGGTAATGATGTAACATCAAAACCATTAATATCTACTCTCCTCTTCCCATGTTTCCTGCAAGAGAATTACTTGGTGTGAGTTTATTAGTTTTACAAAGTCCGGGTCAGATTTTTTCCCTTCCAACCTGCTATGTTCCAGCTTAAAAGGGAGAACGGGGGAGGATTTGACTGAGGTTTGGGTAGTCACAATGGGGAAGGGGGGAACGCTGATCTTGGTGGGTTGTCAAATTTAAAGAAGTCAGTAATTTTCCTTTGACTAATAGTAGATGACTTCTCTCCTTTTGGCACAGATGTACCTCTTGAGCTATTTGTAATTCTGCTTTGCTCACCCGATCCTATAGGGGTAGTGTCCTGGTTTGATCTGGTCTCCTCTCTGAAATCCCTTGTTTTATCCGAGAGCTTATCACCTAGGGGGGCAGAGATTAAGTCGGTACAAGTTTTAACTATTATTAGATTTCCTTCCGTGGGTGTATCATCTTATTTATATGGCCCAAGGGGTCTTCTGTCCAGTCCATATCGATAGCGGTTTGAGCTTCTAAATCAACAGCTTGAGATTCTCCGTCCGATAATGATGACTCCAGGTCAGGCATTGAGGAATGTGTCGAAATTTTGTTTACATTTTGCTGTTCTTTAGTAGGTGTAACCATTCCGGCTGATGCAGGAAGGGCTGGTTCCAGATTAACTAATAGGGGTGGCGAGACAATTGTCTGTATCGTTGCCTTGGATTTTATGGACCTATTTTGAGGCTGTGGGCTAAATTTGAGAAGGTCCACTGAGCCTCCAATGGCCCTGTTGGTTTGAATTTCTTTGTTTCCTATTTTGCTTTTGGCCTGAGACATCTTCTCTCTTAGTTTATCTAATTTATTTATTATTTTTCTTTTTCTTGTGACTGTAATTCATCAAATGAATTCATAAGGGCGCTTTCATCATTAGATATTCTGGAGCCACCCAAGTCCGTTCCTGGTTGTGGACTGCAGGCCATCTCCTCCGTTCTCTGTGGGGAAGGCAACATCTCTTTGTCTGGCGATTTTGTAGAGCTTGTTCCTGAATCTAATATCTCTTTCTCTTTTCCACAAGTAGTGGTTTTACTATGCTGTCCGCAAAACCCTTGTAGGTATGATTTTTGTTTTTATAAATTTCCATTTTTGTCTTATTATTAATAAGGGTAGTCTCAGCGAACGGAAGGCTAAAATAACTTTGTAAGGGCCATTTGATTGAGTTAGCGGAAGTAAAGCATGAAGATCAATATGAACTATGCTTATTCTCAGGATTTTACTTAGGGCAGTTTTAGCTCCTTCCAAGCTTGACCAGTCCCATATCTCAGACCTTATCGTTAGGCACACCTTCTTAGGTTGCAATGTTAGATTTTGCTTACACATGAGATCGTTTAGTTTATATTTTCTCATCCCCTTTGCCCCAGAGTTTGGTGGGGCTATTACTGGAGGTCCCCTCTGGTAGTTATTATTGAGGGCAATTTTGGCGTCCATATCCATCACTTTTTCCGTTAGCTTGGAAATTGAGCACGTCAGAAAGTCTATCTTTTTAAATATGCAGTCCAGTGTCCTAATGACTAGTTGTAAATGGGAGGACTCATTTCCCAGCTGGTTTTCTTTATCCCGGATCTTTTCCCATCCACATTGGGCCCACCCTTGACGGGAGTGCTCGTTAGATTACAATTGTGTATGGTGGTATTTTGGGACTTGGGAATGTTATTAGCTACATCCAAGTCACTTAGTGGAAGAAATCTATTGTATGTGGTAACTGCTGCTTGAGAATTTGACTGGTCTCTTCTTTCTTTAGCTTGTAGCTTGGGGCTAGGGAGGAGCAGTAATTCCTCTGCTTCTCTGAGGCGTTTCCTCTTGCCCATAGCCACAGTAGATATGAGCTAAATAATGTAGATAATACAGGAGAGAAGAAGGGGACTTCCTACCACAGTCAATAATTTGGCTATACAGCTGAGTATTTAACTCCAGGGATTTCTCCGCAGTTCATACAAGAGCTATAATAAGAGTCAAATTCGGATAAAGATTTACCCCTGGTGAGGGCTCAAGTAGATCATCTCAGCTCAGCCCTCTTCACGATAGATTGTTCAAGGGAAGGGCTCTCAATTTAAATCTTGGTCCAGTCCCCATCCCTCCCCTATTCGGTCTCCAGGAAAAGTGCAAGCAGGCTTAACTTGGAACAGAAGGTCTCACCGCTTAGTGAACTTCCAGGCTTTTGTTTTGTTTAATTTAAACTCCCGTCTCCTCTCTCTTCACCCCTCTCTGCTGAGAACTTCTTCTTCACCTTTCAGAGTGTAGTTTCAGCAACCCGAAGCCTAGCAGCCTCGCAGCTTTCCACTCTCGCTGATTGGGATGACGAAGTGCAGCTGGAGAAGACTGCTCGAGAGGGAGGCTGGGTCCTCAAGCCCGTCGGGTTCAGCTGCCCGTTCAGGCACCTGAGGACTTCTATGATCTCCTCTGGTCCTCAGGTCCTCCCCTGGCCTGGCTTCAAAACTTCGGCTTGGCTCTTTCCCTTCCCCAAGTATTAAGACTCCGCTCAGGCCCTGTCTCCTGGCTACAGCTATAGCAGAGGTGATCCAGTGCTCGGGAGTAATTTTAACCAACGCTTGCCTTCTAGTTCCTTGTGTAGCCGGTGATTCGGTGTCCTTAAACAGGGGAGTTTCTCTTCGGGTTCTGACTCTGGACTCCCACTGATTCTCCCTGCTCCGGCGGTCAAGATTGATGGTGTCGTCTATTATTCCTTATCTGCAAAGCGCTGACTCATCTGGCACTTTCTCTGCTCACAGCTCAGCATTCTTCTGCTCTCAGCTCCAGGTTAAAAGAAACAGATGTGATTAAGAAAAATAAAATACTTAGTCTAAAACGAGTTAAAACGAGATAAAATCAATTAAAACTCAGTTAAAATTTGTGGAGCTCTGGAGCTGACTGCCTGGCCTGCCGCCATCTATAATTACAATGACATTTTCCCCCAAAAAATAAATAAATAAAGCTTTGTCTCATTTGAAATTTAAGCTTCCATCTCAAGACTCAAGCCAAAAACTACATCTTTTGCTGTGTTACCAAATAGCATGTCTATTTGTTTTAATTCACCTCCCTCCCCAAGAATAACCTGTAGCTCAAAAGATATTTTCTAAAGGAAACTTGTCAAGTGAAACTTGTGAGACGTAACTTTTTTTTAAAAAAAATAAAAAATGAAAATGCCTTTGTGCAAAAGGAAGTTTATTTGGGGGGTTGGGGAGGGTGACTAAGCTGTCTTAGCGGGTATCAGCAAGATATTTCACAAGCAATTATCTGATTCATAGGCCTCTTATTCCAAGCTGTAAAATGAAAAGCACAGGCCTTTGAAGATAAAAGGCCTAAGAAGTGGAGTGCCCACTCTCGCCTTGTTGCTTTGGCAGGCAAAGCTTACTGTTGTGGCATGTTGTCTTTCAATTACACTGAAAGTATTTCTGCTCCAAACAAATCAGTTGCTGAAATTGAAGCACATCTGTGCTCTGTTGGGAGACAATAGAGGAAAAATGTTGGTCGGTGGAGAAACCAACAACATTTGGGGTCTGATTTTATGTACTTGAAGATTGCCTCTGCCAGTTGCAGATGGTGCTCAAGCAGACTAGTGGCAAAGCTTTATGAGGATGCAGCAAGTCAGATAGCGGTTGCTTAGATGAATATGGTATTAACCAATCTGATACAGTTTGGTGATATAGCACTATATAATTTTTTTAATAAATAAACGAAAAGCCTAAAAATAAACTGGAGGAAGGAAGCTGAATCATTTATTTCCTGTGAAGCAAACAACGCACCCAACAATTAAGAAAAACAGAACTTAATGAGAGAAAACTCAATGGAACTGGACAAAAGGTGTGTGGTTAGTTCACAGTGGTGACAAATATCCAAATACTTTGTAGCCAGTTAGCATTATTTTCAGTGCTCAGGCAAAGTTAGCTCAACACAACTACTGATGGCAAGCAGTAACTCTTTTGGGCTGTGCCTGACCCAAGTGGTTGAAAAAAAATGAAGTAAACTGCATTGGACTTGTTTGAAAACCTACAGCAGGCAGAGACCCAGGGGTAATCTGTTTTTGTCTGAGTCTTTGCATGTTTATATGGACGCTAAGTCCCACTTATTTAACTGCTAGTGGGGCATCTGTGTTACTCTCCTGCCCTAAATACTGTAAATCAGTGGTTCCTAATTTGCTTATTACTGCAGACCCCACGTTTTTCAAAAGCCAAGCTATGGACTCCCTACTTTGGAAAATTTTGATATTGGTAGTTTTTGTTACGTGAATGCTGCCACGGACCCCCTGGGTGGGTTATGTGGATCTGGGGCCCTCAAACCACTAATTGGGAACCACGGTTGTAAACAAACAAACAAGTCTATGTTTATCTTGGTGGGGGGACCCTGTAGGCACCAGAGAAGGCCTCTTCAGGCACATATGCTCCCACAGCCATCATATTGGTGACTCCCTGTTTATGCAATGAGAAATTTGTCATTTCAACAACACTCCCTGTGATTTTTCTAACAGTGCAACATTATCCATCTCACACATGATATAAAACAAAGCAAACGCTGAATTTCAGAAAATACTGGTGAAACTGGGATATTTTAAATACATTTTATTACTGAGGAGGCAGCTCAACATGTACATGTTTTCTGTATATGTTTGCAAATAGTTACAAATCACTTCTGAAGAAATTAATTGTTGTAACAGTCTCTTGCTTACCTTAGACCTCCCTCCTGGAGTTCTCTGTGGTGATGCTGGCTTCGTCTTTCAAGGCAGTCAGTCTTCTGTAGTGGGAATGTTACCTTGAATCTGCACAGCATTTTTAGTCTTCAACTCGCCTCAACTCACAATTTCCATATAACGGGCTGGGAGGAATTGAAGACTGAAAATGACATACAGGGCAATCAAACGCCACTTTTTCTGAGAGGCAAGAGTCCTGAGATTGATGTCTGCTGTGTATGATTACCTGAAATTTTCATGGGAAGAAACCATGATAAAGACCATAGGGGAGAGATTTGTTTGTACAGAGAAAATATTTTAGAAAGCTCCTTCCGGGTTCTGTTGGAATTTGCAGTTTATTTTGATGGCTTTTACATATCCTTTCTTTTTGGTTAAGAAAGTAAATGCTTTCACACAATGGCAAACCATCAACATTTCACCTAAAGAGAAACAGGAATTAATTATCATTCCCAAACATGCATATGGTGTCCACCACATGGTGCGTGGATTTGATTTGCATTGCACAAGGCAACCGCGTTGCTTGACTGTCCTGCTTGAAGATAAATATATATATATTGCTTCTGATTTAATGGAGCAATACAGGTAACAAAGCTTAAACAACAAAAGTAAAAACTTTGACAGAAAAGAATGTCATGAGAGGGTCAAATAGAGGGTCAAATACACTACTAACTGACATAACTTTCCACCCTGAGTTCTGATTCATACTTTCAACCATTTAAATCCATAATGCCAATCCTTTGGATCCAGAAGGTTAATGAGTAGTTTGGTGATGTTGGTCCATTTCCGTCTGTTGCACCAAACATAAACCAAACTAACAGTTGTAAAGATGCAACTCAATGGCTTGAAATGAGAAACCTGGTTTTCTGCTACAAGAGCAAGACACAGACATAATCCCCTTCCTGTTGCACTCAGAAGGAGCAGAAGTTTTCGGCTTTAAACAAATGATAGTTCTGCATGATGCCCAAACTCAGGGAGTGTGGTTTCTTTAAACCTATGGTTAGTGAAAACAAGCAAAGATCTGAAACCATGGTTTGAGTTTAACTTGCTGTCACCAATCATACAGAGCCATATCAAGACATTTTCCTGTCTGGGGCAGAGCAGCAAATAGTGCCCAGTTCCCACTGTTGAGGTCTATAGAACCTGAGGCTGGTCAAGTTATTTTGCCACTTGAGGCAGACAACTCCATGTATGCCTATTCCCCTCTCTGGTAGGAAGTAAATAAATAATAAATATTTGTTGCCTTTAATGATATGCAGAGTTAGCTGCATGACCAATGGTACAGCCAGCCTAGAATTCTAACAGTCTAACACATGCGTAACAAAATACTAACTTGTATCACTTTTTATTCTGATTTAGTTTTCTTGTGTGTAGCTTCCTCACTAGGTGTATTTTAGAAAATTTTAAACGAGAAGTGAACATCTAATTGTGCAATCCTGCACATATCTGCTATGCAGTATAAATCCCATCAATTTCAACAAGGCTTACTCTCAGGTAACAGGCAATAGGATTGCAGTGGAAAGCAAATGACTTGCAATACTAGGAATGAGAAATGTTTCCTCAGTGACACAAGAGTGAAATGAAACAGCAGTCTAGCATTTCCGACATCTCTTAGAGAAGAGAAACTCTGCATGTGTCTTCCTTTTGGTTTTTAAGAAAGCCACAGTACAGCCCTTTACCACGCAAGTGTCTGAACTGTTTAATACCACACATCCCACAGGTCAGGATGCAACAGCTCTACTTCACAGAGATAAAGAGACAGTACCAATAAAGCAGATTTTTCTGGCTTATTTTTAGAAAGGCACTGGTGTTGGTGTTTGTCCTTTCCTGAAAGAAGCACCGCGTACAACCTTCAAATGAGTTATATTCATACTTGTACACAAGGTTAGTAAATACAATAATTACCTGCATTCTATAAGACTATTCAAATGAGTAGAAGCAGAAGTAATTCAATTAGTCTAATCTTTCCATATTTCTGTAGAAATCATTCCTAGGTGGTAGATTTCCAGTGTGCTAACCTACTTAATTCCATGTGTTTCATTATTATGTTTCAAGTGCTTACAAAGGGCAAGGATATAACTCAGTAGAGGAGGACAGGCTTAGAATGTAAATAGTTCTAGGGTCAATTAAGGCAGGAGATGATGAGGAAGACCTCTCGGTCTGACATGCTGAAGAGCTGCTGATGGTCAGAGTAGATGATAGTGGGCCAGATAGACAAATAGTCTGAGCTGGTTTAAGGCTGTTTCCATTTGTAACTACATCTTGTCATTTACACACTAAAATTAAAACAAGGAGCCCTGGGGCACCTGAAGGACCAACACATTTATTATGGCACAAACTTTCATGGACTACAGACCACTTCATCAGAAACATTTAGTGCTATCCTGATATATAACTATCCCATCGGCTACATTCATTATTATTACAGGCTGGGGACACTCTATCCCAGAGATAGCTAATGTAACAATGGAATCCAGTGACCATCAGCATCAGCCAGCACGGCCAATGCTCAAGGATGATAGGATTTGTAGTCAAACAGCACCAAGAAAGCACCATGTTGGCTACCCCTGCCCTAACCCTTGACATTTCTATGTTGAAAAGCCTACAAACCTTCTGTTGAAAATGAAAGCAGGAAACCAGTTTAATTTTATACTAGACGTACCAATAAGGGCTGTGGTAGTTTGTGACTCTGATCTTTTTCTATGAAGTTATTGGAAGCTGCCTATATGAGATCAGGCTTTTCCCACCATCCAGCCTAGACTGTGGTGCTCTAGAGTCTCAGACATTGACCTTCTCCATTGCCTACTACCAGATCAGAGGCCCTGGTCTTTTGTGTATATACTTGGTACTGAACATAAACCCCAAGGCTGATCCCTGACACAAATTAGGTCCTGGTCATCACAGCACTCATTATTAAAAATGGGGCACTATTTGTAGTTCAGCAGTCAATTCAGCAACTTGGATAAAGAACACGGCTTTGAGACTTCCTCTTGTTACTTATATGGCATGTCTGATTGCTGTGAGGGCAAGAAGGTAGAAGAGAGTGACAAAAGTCAGCATTTTGACCAACGTTGGGCTGTATTCACATTGCAGTCTAGTTGAACTGATCCATTTTAACCTCCATGTGTGACAGTGGCCCAACTCTAGCAAAGTCCTAATGCTTTAGGCCAGAATGGTGGCATCCACAGAAACTGTTTGGGTTCTTCTTTCTTTGGAAAAATACGACTTATGTTGATCAATGTGCTGATTAAATATAGATTAATTGCTGAGGGAGGGAAATGGGGGTAGATACAACAACAAAACTATCACAAGGGAATGAGAAGGGCACAAGGAACCAGAAGAGAATCTGGCAAGATATGTTCAAGTTTCTGAAGCTTATCACTTTGTGAGGAAGGGGTGGGTTTCCTCTTCCCACGGATGCTGCACAGTTATGCTTCAGATAGTACTAATGCTATAGCACTTGTTTGCAGAGCTCCTGTTGAACTAGCCTCCTGAAAAGGAGGCTGCATCCAATGGAACAAGTGCTACTCTCAGCTCTCAGATGAAAGGCTTCATATGGCCTCCAGATGATCAAGGTGATGTTACACTGAACACTTCCTTGTGGGCACCTGGAGTCAGATAAGGCAGGTAATCATTCTTTGTTTCTTTGTTTACATTTTGTTCCATTGGAGGCTGAGCAGATTTACAAACTATATTTCTCACATAACAGAATAGTTGGGAATCTGTTTGCTAAGAGTGCTTAAAGTTGTTGGGAGACACCTATTTCCCCTTATAGAGCTACAATCCCCAGAGCTCCTTGGGAAGAGGCATTGACTGTTAAATAGGTGAATTTCAAAAATATAATAATAATAATAATAATAATAATAATAATAATGTATTATTTATACCCTGCCCATCTGGCTGAGTTTCCCCAGCCACTCTGGGCGGCTCCCAGTCAAGTGTTAAAAACAGTACAGCATTAAATATTAAAAACTTCCCTAAACAGGGCTGCCTTCAGATGTCTTTTAAAGATAGGATAGCTGCTTATTTTCTTCACATCTGAAGGGAGGGTGTTCCACAGGGTGGGCGCCACTACCGAGAAGGCCCTCTGTCTGGTTCCCTGTAACCTCACTTCTCGTAATTAGGGAACCACCAGAAGGTCCTCAGCGCTGGATCTCAAGTAAAAAAACCAGGACACCCCGGAGGTTGTTGAGTTTCTTTTTTACAAGAACACCAAAAAACCCATAATTTTCAATTGGCTTGCCTAAGATCCAGGACAAAGCGCCGCCTTTCAGAAATTCTCCCCTGGATGTCAATTCCACCTTTGAAATCCTGGGGAAACCCGGACATATGACAGCCCTATTGTTAAACCACCCTGGGAATTGTAGATCTGTGTGGTGAACAGGGTTCTTCTAATAATGCTCAGCCCCCTTAACATATCACAGCTCCCAGGATCCTTTTTAGGAAGCCCTGACTCTTAAAGTGCTATGATAGGGCTTTGCTGTGGATGTGGTGTGGAAACAGAGCTTAGTTTATTTTTTGGTTGCTATTTTGTTAAGTTCATTAATTTTGTTATTATTATTTATTATATTTATTATTTGTACGCATCTTCCATGTATTATTTAGTCAGCAACAGATGGAATTTTTAGAATATTCTTGCAGGCGTTTACATGACAGCACATCCACGCAGCTCAACCCATAAGCATTATGCTGCTAGATTAAGATATTGGTACTATATATATATAATACAGTTGTACCTTGGGTTACATACGCTTCAGGTTACATACGCTTCAGGTTACAGACTCCGCTAACCCAGAAATAGTGCTTCAGGTTAAGAACTTTGCTTCAGGATGAGAACAGAAATCGTGCTCCAGCGGCGCGGCAGCAGCAGGAGGCCCCATTAGCTAAAATGGTGCTTCAGGTTAAGAACAGTTTCAGGTTAATAACGGACCTCCGGAACGAATTAAGTACTTAACCCGAGGTACCACTGTACTACAGGGAGTCAGTCATGATATATACAGTAGATCTGAAAATAGGCTCTAAAGAAGCACATCAGGAAACTAGACAGAATGGGCACATCTGAAAGTTTCAAACCAATATGTACCCATGTTTTGAAAGATGGAACAGATACATTGGTTTGAAACTGATATATACACTTGCATCAGGAATGATTGTGCCCATGGAAGAAGCCAGGATTTTTTTGGGGGGCAGGCCTTTTTTTTAGGGGGGCAGAACCTTAGTTTGCTATGTATTTTTATTGAATTGTATTGATTGGGGGCGCTGCCCCTCCCTGCCTGCTCCCAGCTACACCCATGATTGTGCCCCATATGCTTTTCTGGGAAACAATAATTTTTTGGCGTCTAGTATTGTCCTACTCTGAATCAAGGAGCTTAGGAAACAGTGAAGTTGAACCAGGTGCTGTTGTTAAAACAATCAATCAAGCTTTAATGACCTCTGTGTTCCATTTTTGCTACTTGTTATTATTATTATTTTAAATCTCTTTACAGAAACTTGTCATAATGGCAAACTGCAGTGACATCAAGATGGATAAGAACGTAGTCACTTTTGAATATGTTCTCTACAGCCCAGTAACTCTCTTTGGAGTCATATTTAATACAGTTGCCTTGTGGGTGTTCTGCTTGAAATTGGACAAATGGACAGAGACCAGAGTTTACATGATCAGCTTAGTCCTGGCAGACTACACACTGCTCCTTACCTTACCATTCATAATGTACTTTCACTACCATGAATGGCCCATTGATACTTTTTGCTTTGTCGTATTCGGAATCAATTGCATGAACATGCCAATGAGCATGGGCGTCATCATGCTAATAGCGATAGACCGGTACATTGCAATCAAACATCCTCTGAAAGCCAAAGTAATCAGGTCTCCACGGAAGGCAGCTGTTTTCTGCTTATTTGTCGGGCTCTGCTGTTTAGTTTATACAATCACACGCATTCGGTCATTCAAAACTAAAGAAGGATATGTTTGTTTTTATTCACACTTTGGTCAAAATGTGCCTCATGCCCTGATCAAACCTATTGTTTTCTTTTTCATACCACTGGTTATATTGTTGTTTTGTTCCATACAAGTCATCCGATGCCTCAGGAAGAAACATAATGCTGGTCCTCATGAAGAAAAGTTAACCCAGAAAGCCATCTGGGTGGTCTCAGTGAACTTGGCCACTTTCATTATATGCTTCCTGCCTTTCCACTTAAGCTTTCTGCTTAGTTATGTCCTGAAGGCCGTCAGAGGATCGGACTGCGAGTTGCAGAATGTCATGCATATAACTTCATGCATAGCCAATCTGAATTGCTGCTTGGATGCCGTGTGCTATTATATGGTTACTAAGGAATTCCAGGAAGCTGCAGCTCTCTTGCCTCCCTTCAACGCAATGCAATCCAGGTCCAACTTAACTCAAGATTTACAGCTGCAAAGTAAAGCACCTGAAATGGCACCATTACAAAGTTAAACACCTGAAATTACAATGCCATTTTAAGAGGCATGTAGTTTCACCTTTGGAGTACTATGTCCAGCCAATCAAAACCTCATACTTAGGACATTATGTCAAATAAAGCTCAGCAGACAAAGCAAAGACAGTACAGAAACCCAGTATTGTGTTTATTTTAATTTATACATTTTTATCTGAACTTGGTGCCCTGAATTGTCACTGATCAGTGTCTTGGTTTAAGGTCTCCTGTTGAAACATCAGATTATGCTCTTATTTACCGGTAATGCCTTTCATTCAAATATGTCCCTATATCCAAGATGGTACTTTGTATATTGAAAACCTGCCTTTGTACTTTCCCAGTGATTTTAGTTTGCAGCTGATACAAGCTACAATGCTTTGTAAATTTGTTTTAATACAGAGAGAGAGAGAGAGAGAGAGCGAGAGCGAGCGAGCGCCACTGGAAACCCTGTGCGAGAGTGCTAGATATAATAAATAAGTATGATTTTTTAAAACACTGGCTTTATTTCCAAATGTTTTTGACAAAACATGTTCTTAAGGTGATGGTATTTACTGCACTGTTTCATCCCTGATATAAATGTATTATGTCCTTAGTCTCTTACTTAAATGGTGGTGGTGTTAATTAGGATTTTCCCACTGTTTTGAGTTTTGTTTATGTGCTCGTCAGCAGATAATAGCATCAACCGCTGAGGAGATCTCCTGACAGCTTTGCTGATTGTGTCAGAATTTTGGCAGAGAGATTGCCCAGAGCTACAGGGAGAACCTGCAAGCACCGAATATAGATACAGAATTTGATTCTAGTAAATTAGTAGCACATATATATGCTACTTATTTGCTAGAATCATTGTTAATATGAGTCACTCATATTTCTATGAGGCCTGTGACATTTTAATACACTAGACTTCATAGTTCTCCTTAGTGTGAAATGAAGGCACACAAGAGTCCACGGGGTGCACAGATGGAGCATGCCTCAGGTCTAGCTGCTATTGTGTTGCTATCCTTCTGGATCATGCTCCAGGTGGGCTACAAAATTCAAATTCCATAAGGAGATGTAGAGGACATCACACCATGGTATATATACAGCATGAGAAAGGAAGTTCATTCATACAAACAAACAAACAAACAAACAAACAGGAAACCATAAGGGCTTCTATCATAGTTCCCAAACATTTCCCCAACGCATCTGCCTTAATTATTTATCTAATGATACTAACATCATCATTAAACCTGCTGATAAAGTAGGGGGAATTGCCATCATGAATAGAGAGGATTATGTGGATTAGGCTACTTGCCAACTTCTCGATTTTATATTAAAATTACTAAAGATCCTACCGACTCTACAACCACCCTTTTAAAAACTGTGTTGCAACATGCATACACCATGGGTTTCATTGATAAACACACATTTGAATTTCTTCTGCCACCTTATCCCCGCATACCTATTTTCTACTGTTTACCTAAGATTCATAAGAATTTAAGGTCTCCCCCAGGTAGACTGATAGTTTCAGGTTCTGGTTCCATCCTGGAATCCGTGGCCAAATTTCTAGATTCTTTCTTACAACCCTTCTTTGTTTCCAAACATTTTCCTTAAGTGATGTTGACTTCAAACAGGTCTCTCCACTCCTGCACTGGCACAACACAGATTTACAAAAAAAAAAAGAAGTCGTTGTAATTGCGGCTCATGTAACCTTCTAGTGACCTGAGAAGACCTTGGAAGTAGGCACCAGGGAGAAGCCATGGGCATTGGAGTACGTAAGGGCTGAATCCAGGACTAAGAGTAGGTGGCAAGGAATCATGCATTTTCTCTACTCCAATGATGGCTGAGATGTGGTCCTCAAAGTGTTGCTAAACTATCTTCCATCGTCCACGTACATTGCTGGCTCAAGTTAATGGGAGTTGTTGAACAGCAACATCTGGATGGCCAGAAATTTGCCACCCCGATCTATTCAAATTGCAACGATCCCAATTATCCTGTGCTTCATGCATGGCCATTTCTGCAGGTTGAATTGATAAGCCAGAGATGCATCTTTAAAACTGCACTGAAATGATTTTTAAAGGACATTGGTCCAACCACGATGCTGTCAGTGATGTGGTGCTAAGGGGACTTCTTATCACTTACGGTGGGGATGCCTAGTAATGCAGGCATTTTGGGGACTGGGGTCCTCAGACGTATTCAGAATGGTTTGTGAGCCCATGGATTTCTCATCCCAGTTGTTTTTCCTGCCCCCTTTTTGAAGGCTTGAATGCTGGTATAAAGAATAAGGATTTACTGGCTATTTTTTTAGTGGCTGCTCAACGATCTGTAGCTGAAACCTCACAAGAATTATCCCTGGATTTATCGTATAAAAATGTCTGGCGATTGGCTGTCACTGAGAATATAACATATAATGTAGAAGTGATAAAAGGAAAGGAGAAAGAGGACATTTTTTTCTGCAATATGGTGGCCATTTATTCAATATACAAATGAAACTGGTCTTAAAGATATACTCTCTATAGCATCTTTGCATATAAAGCTATATTTGGCTTGAACTATAGTCTTTCCTGGGAATAATTATTGGTGATTGAGAGGGTGGAGCTTTTATGCTGCCCCCAGGACATTATATGCTGGACATTTGGAAGGAGAATTTGGAATAATTAATGTTAATGTACAACATGATACCCATTATAGGGGTGAGAGTTGTTCTATTTATTATTATGCGTGTATATATTTGATAGAGATAGATGATAGATAGACAGATGATAGATCTTGCCCACAAAAGCTAGGAAAGTATCTAAAGCAATCGAAAAAGTGTTGATAAACTATCTGATGTGTATGCTTCCATGGCATCTGTCTAAATGTAAAGGGTTCACAATTAAAATGTACTTGTCAGTCACAAAATTCTTCACTGTGACTTGGAGTCAGAAAAAAATGGAGGATGGAGTTCGTAACAGATGCCAGCAGCAGATGCCTGTATTATAACAGTATATTTTAATCAGCTGGAAGTATGCATATTTTTCTACTTTGGAGGAGGAAGGGAAGGGGAGGTAAGCCTACTGTTGCATACAGCAGACGTTTTCAAAACTGTTGCAGTGAAATTCTTCTGGCAAGAAAAAGACACCTGTATATGCTTCTCCAGGGGACACTGAGCTAATACAAGGACAGAAAAGTCCTGCTGCTTGTAGGACAATGAAAACTAAAAAGTTGCTTCCAACTAAGCGATTGGCCTCTATCCAGAGATTGTGCTTAAATCCCATTTTAAAAACCCCCCACAGATAATCCCTACATGAATAAAAAGTGCAATACATGAAACTATTATAAAACAGTGGTACCTCGGGTTACGAACTTAATTCGTTCCGGAAGTCCATTCTTAACCCGAAACCGTTCTTAACCTGAGGTGCGCTTTTGCTAATGGGGCCTCCCGCTGCCACCGTGCCACCTGTGTGCGATTTCTGTTCTCAACCTGAGGTACTACTTCCGGGTTAGCGGAGTTTGTAACCCGAAGCGTTTGTGACCTGAAGCGTTTGTAACCCGAGGTACCACTGTAAAGCAAAGGGATTATATGGCTATTGACTGGAATTTATGGGTGCTATTCATCTAAGTTTTACTCAGATACGGTTCATTAAAATTAATGAACTTGCCTAAGTTAGTCTTAGGGACGCAGGTGGCGCTGTGGGTTAAACCACAGAGCCTAGGACTTGCCGATCATAAGGTCGGCGGTTCGAATCTCCGCGACAGGGTGAGCTCCCGTTGCTCAGTCCCTGCTCCTGCCAACCTAGCAGTTCGAAAGCACGACAAAGTGCAAGTAGATAAATAGGTATTGCTCCGGCGGAAAGGTAAGCGGCATTTCCATGCGCTGCTCTGGTTCGCCAGAAGCGGCATAGTCATGCGGCCACATGACCCGAAAGCTATACGCCGGCTCCCTCGGCCAGTAAAGCGAGATGAGCGCCTCAACCCCAGAGTCGTCCGCAACTGGACCTAATGGTCAGGGGTCCCTTTACCTTTAAGTTAGTCTACTACAGTGGTACCTCAGGTTAAGAACTTAATTTGTTCTGGAGGTCTGTTCTTAACCTGAAACTGTTCTTAACCTGAAGCACCACTTTAGCTAATGGGGCCTCCTGCTGCTGCTGCGCTGCAAAGTTCTTAACCCGAGGTACTGCTTCTGGGTTAGTGGAATCTGTAACCTGAAGCTTATGTAACCTGAAGCGTAGGTAACCCGAGGTACCACTTTATATATTTTGGGAAGTCTTCTATGCATTTGGATACATCTCAAGATATCATAACCAAATTTTGCTCTTCTGTTGTATCACAGTTTAGTATGGTATCCCAGATTAAGTCCTGTTGAAATCAGCAGGACAAGTTCATCACAACAAATAACTCCCATTGCATTTTAATGGTGCTTTCTTGAGATATAACGGGACTTTTCTTCAGAAGTAGTGATGGAGCTTTAGCAAGATGAGTTCCAGGGTTGTGATACAGCCATTGGGAACACCTTCCTCTGTGCTCTCATTGTGTTTAATTTGGTAGGCTATTGCTGTAGGCAAGCATCCCTGTTTGGTTGATCTGAAGAATGAAGATGAAATGTAAGTGTGGATGAAGTCCCTAAAGTATATAGTCTCTAAATGGATGTAGCGCTGAAGCCATTTGGAATGTTATAGCTTGGGGCCATTTTTTTGGAATTGCAGACAAGACAAGAGAGAGCCAGTGCAAAGATTTAATGAAGATGCAACAATGGGAACAGACTGTCACATTCTGCAACAGCTGAACATTCTAGGCAGTCATCAATGGCAGCCCCAAACTGAGCACTGGAGCAAGTTAGCCTTGAGGATATGAAGGCACAAATGATTATCTCCAGGGTTGCAACCAGGAGTATGCAGTAGGGAATCTAGGAAAACGCCAAGGATTAAATTTAATAAACACACAGGGCCTGGAGTGGGCTGCTTGCCCATTGCAATGTGTGTCTCTTGCACAAGATCTTCCACCTAAAATAAACATTGGAATCTTTCACATAATGGGTTGGATCAGA